CCTGAGGAATTCAGAAGGAGATACATCAAAATGCAGCAGACATGGGCCAGGCACTTTTATGCATCTTCACTGACTGAAAAACACACACACGACAGTGCATGGATTTTAATATATTTTGGGGTGTATGTGCATGAATCTCAACAGGCTTGGAATCATCGGGAAAGTAAATCCCTGGAATGTATCCTTCAGAGCAACAAATATTTCTGTGGCAGGGGAAGTCGTCTCTAAATATTTTGGATGCTTCCAATAACACTATTTTCTTCAAGTTCTCACATATTCTATTAAAAGATGAGAAAGAAGAAAAACTATTTTTTGTCTTTAAAAAACCATTATATAAGCAAGGCTCTGCTGATGCCATGCAAAAGGATACCTTGTTTTTATGGCTAAAGGGCAGGAGCCAGGGAAGGGTTCCTTACCCATCAACAATTGATCCTTCTACCTAGCACTGGAGAAGGCAAGAGAAGGAACATTGTTCTCTGGATGCCAGAGAAAACCAGAATACTAGTAAACATGGGGGTGGAAAAAACATTATTAGTGCATGTCACACCACTCAATTAAGTAGAATTTATTTTTTGGAATCATGTTTTGGAAAGATACTAAGGGCTCACTAAAACCACAGCTTCATGTGGAGGCAAAACTAATAATGTGACATGGTAAAAAGAGGAGGCATCTGCTTAAGGGCATGACTATAATTCTATAGTAATGAATTTGGAAGCATTAGTTTTGTAGACAGAATCTGGTGAGCAGAGACTACAGCAGGGGCTGTGAGTGGTGAGGCTTTCTATGCCCCAGAATTATAGGAATCCTAAAACACTCGGTGTGTCTACTGCTACAAAAGATGGACAGCATGGGAGGGAGAAGCTAGCACTGGATGGAAATCCAGCGTTAGGGGATTCAGGGACATCCTGGCTCTACCAACAACTCAGGTTACCAGAGTAAGTCACTTTAACACTGGGGTACCTGTTTGCTCATTCACAAAGTGAGAGAATTGTATCATCTACAAGATTCTTTAAACTTTAGAATTTTCTGACTCAAAGTTCCTGAGCTATGGAACCTATCCCTTCTAGATCAAAATTGTCCAGTAGAAATATATTGTAAGCCACTTATGTAACTTTAAATGCTTTGTTGCCACATTAAAATATGTTTTTAAAAAGGCGAAATTAGGTCTTATCATACTTTTATGTCATCCAGTATGTCCAAAACATTGTCATTTCAGTGTAAGTCTTTGAAATCTTGACTAGCTATGCATACAAGTGGCCAATAGCCACATGTGGCTAGTGGCTACTGTCTACCATGTTAGATAGCAATGTTTAAATGAATTATGCATATAGTATGTGTGCCTTCATATATTTATGTGTGTATGTAAAAATGTATAGTGTGTTTTATGTATGTGAACGAATACAATGAAATTGACACTAATGTTAAGTTTGGAGTATTTCCATGGAAAGCACATTTCATTAAAAAGCCAATTACAAAACATATGAAACCTGCCACTATTTTATTATAAGAAGTAATGTAACCAAAAATACAACTATAGCAAAAATTGAGGGAAAATAAACAGAAAATTACAATTTTTACAGAGATAAGAATGCAAGTAATTTTTTCATTTACATAATTGTGAATATGGATTCCATGTTTCTGCCCAGTGAGGTCTGTTTTCAGATTAGACACATTCTGAAGATAAATCATCTCACCAAAAGCTGGAAAATACTATCCTTTCCTTAGGTGGGAAGAGCAAGTTTCTTGAGCTCCTTCCCATTTTGACAGAGTTGTAACTGAAGTGCTTGTAAGGCCAGATCGTATGACGATTCCATGAACTTCCTGGTTCCCTTACTGTACAAATCCTCCACCCACTCTCCCTTAAAATAACTCATGCCTTTTGAGACAGCATGAGGGGGCGATGCTTTCTTAAACCAGAAAAAAGAACCTGACTCAAGAACAATGGCTGACCTCCAGAGCAGTTGTAAGGTCCACATGAGGTTACGTTGTCTAAGCTTCCAGTGGGACATAACACACAACAGGCTTTCAATAAATGTTATTTACTGTTCTCCAATCTCCTCAAAAAAATTTAAAGAGATTTTGATCATTACATTTATATAGTCTGGTTCAACATTTTCTTAACAGATCTCTAATCCTTGCCTCATATCTCAAGGACCTGAACTAATACTATTTTTTTCTTTAACAGAAAGACTATATTTCAGGAAATATTATAACCAAATATTTCTATAGATATACATATACATTTGGAAGCCATCTGAAGTCTAGATTCTTGAAAGTGATGTCATATCACTCTTTAAAAATAGATAGGCATTGTAATACAGCATCTGAAGCCTGCTTACCTCTACTCTAAAATATTTTCTAAGAATCTCACCATATGATATAGGAGTATGTTTAGATTCATTATAAGGTATTTTACATTTAAAATAATTACCAAATTGTATTACATCAACCTTTAAAGGTTACAAAAAGTAAACATCTTTATAGATAAGCGCTCACCAAAGGAGAACAGGTATAACATAAGCTACATATCTGTCTGAATCCCCTTATGTCACAACAGCAAGTGTCCAGTGGTTAGAGCCAGTCAGATCTATGTTCAAATAACAGCTGCACAATGTATTTGTTCTATAGCCTTAGGCAAATTTACTTAGCCTCCCCAAATCTCAGTTTTCTGGGAATATCAATGCCCCATCTTTTGAGAGTATAAAGATGAGAGATAAAGAATGTAAAGTGCTGTGTTGGACACAATGCCAGGAAGAGTACATGCTCAATAGTAGCTAGTATTATTATGATTGAAACAAAGTTTATTTAAAGAAACTTACTGAGAAATGTTTATAAGATTTTCTGGAAATTAAGAGGTACTCATGAAGAAAGATATTTATTCCAAGTAACTGTCTATGACATACACAGATTTATTTGGAATACTAAAAAGGAAAATATCCCTAAATTTTCCACCCAATATTACCTAACACACACATGCACGATTCCATCATGACTATTCCCTCTTAGCAGTCTTTTCATTTTTCCAGAGCAAAAGTAGGACATAAAGTTCTTTCTCCTGAACCACAAGTTAGAGGTCATCATCAGTTCATTTGGAAAAATAACCATCAGTGTTTACACACACATAGACCCACACACACACAACACACATTTACTTGTATGTATATTTGAACTATAAATTAGTAAAGACCTAGACATCAATACTTAGCTAACATAAACGAATGAGGTAGTGGGGAAGCCCAACCACTTGTGTTGACCACAAAACTCATATCTCTCTCTTACCCTGTTAAGAGACTGTTAAGTCCCTGATGGACTTGTCTGACAAACACATTCCACACTCACACAAATCATTCATTTTGGAGTAGAGAAAGAGAGAGAGGAAGGAGGAGGGGGGAAGGGGAAAAAAAGGAGGAAAGAAAGGAAGACTCTATGTGTGGGGCATGTACGTAGGATGGGCTAGCAATCTAGGTGAGTTTTGGAAAGTCTATTTTTTGCCCACCGAGAGCTTGCCCAGACTTGCTCTAAGGCTGTGTTGCAAAATAGGTAATGATTTCTCTGCCAAGCATGTTATTGGAATGAGTGAAGTCCCAGACCTAACATTTTTTTTTTCTTGGACATCTTACTTCTTCAACACAAACATCTGAGGCTGTGGTGGTTTTAAGTATGCTCCTCAGCATCCCAAAGTTCCTGTTTTTTATTTCTCAATTTCTTGATGTTTACTATCCAGTTCAAGAGCTACTGACCTCTGCCTCACCCAGCACTAATCCTGTCGATTTTAAGTCCTTATGCCTTTCAGAACCACTCTTCCAAGCACAGCTACCTCCATTCAGAGTCTGGAAATTAGGATCAATAACCTATGCAAATTCAGCACCATATTGAGAGATTCTTTTGGAGCAGGTATTTATCATTTGAGGAAGGCTTGTGTTTGGAGAACACTTGTAATCAAAAGAAAAAATGGTTCTGACTAGTCATTTCAGTTGACTTGATCCTCAGACACAGGAACAGGATAAGTTAAGGTCTGAAAGGATTGGTTGTACCAAGGAGGTCATGAGTAGATAGATAACAGTTGATTAGCTCATACAAATATATGGAGAGGCACCACCGATTCAGAGTGGTGATTCTAAAAAAGTATAAACACCTAAAATCAAGAAATGTTATAGCTAGACATCTAATTTGTTCCTTTCATTTACATATTTACAGTCAGAATTGAGGTTCAGAGATATTAATTGACTTTTCCAAGGGTTTGAGCAGAGACTAAAATGAGCTTTGTTTACAGGCCAGTGTAATCAAGGAGTTTATGCAAATTAATAAAGATTTAATATCAGGACTAACTGTCTCATAAACTGAAGAGTACCACTGTGGGACACAAGAACTGTGGTTACTAGAAAGGTGCATGATAAAATATTAAAGATGACTCTCCAGGTTCTACTAAAGTTGGGATGAATATTCCTTAAGGCCGTTACCACTATTCATAGCTCACCAGGGAGTTTTCTGATTATAAACTGAAATTCCTAAATTCTCTGAGTTTAGAATTGGAATACTCGGATGATAGAAAAGACTATTTTATTAGCAAAGACTGCTTATTTGAACTAAGTTGATAAAGTTGAGTTTCTAAAATCATTTACTGAGGACTCTGAATTCATGAAAAACAATCCAAGATGGTCAATATCCCTTTTTCTTTCTTTTTTCTCTTTGCAGAACATTATTAAACATCTCATGATTATGTAGCTATTTTAGAATGAGGTAAAAATAAAGTTATTAATAAATAACAAACATTGCTATAATAGAATGGAATAGAATGTAGTTGTGATATATTTAGCCAATAAAAATATAATGGTATAATCAATTATAAAGATGGCTCCTAGAAATTTAAATGTTAATGTTACAACTTGTTAGCATATTTCTTAAATAAAAAAATAAAAGTTTTAAAATGTGAAGAAGTATCAAGTTCATTTTTTGTCTTCTATTATACTCAAAACAGACCCCTTCATTTTCTCTCACAGGTAACAGCAAGGGTTACTCTGTTGCTGCCAAGAGAGCTCGATATGAGACGGCCAAACTGAGTCAGATGACTGTTTTGTTAAAATAGGGTTTCGAGACTGTAGATTCATGAGATGGGGATTCAGCAGAAGGAAAACATTCCCATCTCCATTATAGGAAAGTTATAATGGTGTTGACTATTTGGAAGAAAAGAGAAAAAGAGACAAAGAAGCGATCTTGCTTAATCACAACAAATGTTCTATTAAACATTATGTAAAAACAAACTACAATAGTAATAATATTAGTCAATTTGGGAGCTTTTTAACAAATGAACAAATATTTCTTTTTAAGACTATAAGTTCTATGTGAAATAATATAATACACAACAGAGACTAGAGTGTTTCATAAAACAGAAGGACTTTCAGGACTTTTTTTTTTTCCCCCAAAAGGAAGATATGCCAGGAAAATCTTTATACAATTAAATGGTCTATGTTCGTCATGTCTAAAGGCAAGGAAAACACCCAAAAGCTATTTTTTTTTCTTACTTGGAGTCAGATTATTTAGTAGCATACATGTTTAGTGAATAAACTTGTATGGAACATAACTCATCTTTGAGAATATCATCATAGTGGTATGGACTTGCCTGACCTTTAGAGAGCCATATACTTTCCTGTCTAAGGAATGGTCTTGAATAACAGAATTACCAAATGAGTACAAAACAATGCCTGCCTGACTGGGTTTTTTGCTCCCTCAAAGAATAGGCAATTGTGTCAGTTGGCCTTTTTATGATTAATGGAGTAATCATGATCCTGTTTAATACCTTTTCCTGAGATAATTTGGGTGGAACCTCATACCCCTGCAAATTCTAAATTTAATTTTCAGATTGGGTTACCCAGAATTCACTGGAGTAAGCTTTCCTGATATGAAAAGAAGAGATACAAGTTCTTTTCTCTGAAGAGTTATCATGTAATCATGCTTTTTAAAAAAGAATTTATTGCCACAGAAGTTAGAAGTAGATTTCCACTCTATGGGGAAGTAAGTCAGTCCTAGAATAATGCAGGCCCATACACATTGTTCTTCATACTCTTCCTCAACCATATCATCTTGAGCAGTTTTTATTAAGGCATACGAAATGGGCTGATCACTTTTCAGTTTTCTTACTGTCCTAATCTCTTAAGAGACAAATCACTTTGGAATAGAAAAAAATCAAGGTATGAAATTTAAAAATGAAACTTAGATTTGGGCTAATTAGCCCCTTAAAATTACAGGGTCAGATTCCTAAATACTATAAAAGGGAGTAGTATATTTAGGTAAGTTTTTAAAAATACTATGCATGTATAAATGAAACAGAATTAATATATCTGTGATTCTTTTAAAAGTAATAGGTCACCAACTATTGGTTATGGCCAAGTGAGGAGACAAATTCTCTCTGTAAAAAGCAACTATAAAGCTGGATAAAATTGACAAAAACAATCATTTTGGCACTCTGAAAAATGAATCAAAGCCATAAAACAACCTGAGAAGCATTTAGGCTTGAAAAACTGCTGAATATAAGAATAATGAAAATCTGTGGCATTCTAGACTGTAGCTACTCACATATCCTCCTTCCCTTCTTCCTCACTTCTGTAAGGACAGAGGTTTTTTAGAAGCAGGCCAGGCGCTTCTCTGTCATGATAAATGAGACCTCACTCAATCTGGAGTGATGAGAAACGACCACTCCCAGTGGCATTTTGGTCCAAGTGCTGATCTCTGAGCTGGGTAAACAGGGAAACCCAATGGCTCTCCTAGTCTGAAGCTGTAGTCACAGTTGGAGAATATTTCTGGCTGTCTATATTTCCTGGAAAAGGATTAGTTCACTCAATCCTGGCTACCCCTGGATTTGTTTGCATAAAAGAGAGGATAAGAAAAGGTCCAGTGGTAAGTAAAAGCTGGAGCTTGAAAGCACCTGAACTCTGAGTGAGCTCCCCTACCACATAGAGATCCTTTGGCAAAAGACGGAAGCCTTACTGGCTCAAGTGTTTGAGCACAACCTCTAGCCAATCACTAAGCCATGCTGGCATGGGGAAACCTTTAGGAATCCAGGTTTAGAAGTGTATATGTATGTATATGGTTGTGTGTGTGTGTAGATATACTGCAGATATACATATATATGTATAGATATGCATTATATATTAGTATATATATTGGTATATATGTGTATGTATGTGTATATTTTAACTGAGCAGAAATATCAGCATGTGCAAATGGCAGAGGAAATTTTTTTTTACAAATTTTGTGCAAGTTACTTAAAAAAACAAAAAACAGCAACAATAATAGTCTTTATGAAGTTAAAAAAATTAGAATACAAACTTACTACAATACATTATCTAATATGTCCACTTTCCAACAAAATAATTATAAGATGAGCAAAAACCAAGAATATGTGACCCATATTCAGGGAAAAAAAATCATTGAACAGAAATAGTCTCTGGTTGTCCCCAAAATGCTAGATTTTGCAGACAAAACATATACAGCAACTATTTTTAAAAGCAGCTATTTCATTCAAAGAACTAAAATAAACCATGTTTAAAAAATTAACATATGACAGCAGTGAATCAACAAATAGAAACTCTCAGGTGATAGAAATTAGAAAAATGAACCAAACGCATATTCTGGATTTGAAAACTGAAGTGAGGGATTCACTAGAAGCACTCAATAGCAGATACAAGATGGCAGAAGAAGGAATCAATGAACTTGGGAGATCAGCAGAAATTATCCCAGCTGAAGAAAAGAGACCTGTGGACATCAAATATACCAATATACATGTAATGAGAGTTCCAGCAGGAGACAAGAGAGAGATGATGGCAGAAAAACATTTTTAAAAAGAATGACTGAAAACGTACTAAATTTGATTAAAAACATTAATCTGCAGATTCAAGAAGCTCAACAAACCACAAGAAGATAAACTTTCTGCCTAAAACTTTTCTCCCTGGCTTTCTGTGATTCTGTACTCTCATTAACCCCCTCACACTACTTGAATGTTTCTTTACTTTGTTCCTTCCTCAATCCTTTTTTTCTCAGTGAGTGTGTTTTAAAATCCCATGCAATTCATATTTTTGTATACTCCACACTCACAGAAATTCCATCGATTTTCATAGTCCATCAGTACAGAGACTTTCAAAACTCTTAAGAGGGTTTCTATATTTCTATTGCCTGGTTAAATACCTCTTTGTGGATGTTTCCCTAGCATCCTAAATGCAGAATGTAGATTCTTCTTCTGTTCCATATGTCCATAATTTTATTATCACCAGGAATTGGCAACAGACATCTCAAAACCTGTTACCTTTGACGTTTCCTTCCTCCTCAACTATATTCAGTTGTCAAGCCATGTAAATTCCACTGACCACTGTCTCCCTCCTCTTCATTCCCAGTGCTGCTTCACTAGCTCAGGATTTCATTACTTGCTCACTTAGATTGATACTACAGCAGTAACTGAATTTCATGACTCTGTTGTCTCTTCTTTCTAATCCATTCAAAACATAGTGATCAGATTAATATTCCTAAAGCATAGCTCTGATCATTTCACATTAAAACAACAATAAAAAGATTTGATGGTTTCCCTTGGCTCATTAAATCTGAATTTCTTAGCAGAACATTCCTTTCCAAAGTGTATTTACCACTTCCCTTCACCAACCCCAAATTCCAATTGTGAAAAAAATTGGCTACTTTTTTCAAATGCACTGAAATAAACCATAAGGTTTAAAAATAAAAAAGAGAGAAAGAAAGAAAAGTGGGGGGAATGTTTTTTTACTTTTGGGTGGGTACACATTCCCTGACAACTTGTAAATGTTCTAAGATTTAAGATTATGTAAGTTTTTGGAAGCATAGAGTAGCCACATCAGCTATGGGAGATGAAAAGATCAGGACACATGGTCATGGATTATGATGAACACATGGACAGGATTGGGGTGGAGGAGACCCCACCCTGCACTTTCTCAGCCAGTTACAGACAAGAAGACAAACTCATTTATCTGCTGAACAGGAGCATGTTACCAGTAAATGGATACAGATGAACAGAGCTTCTAGCACAGAGTGCATGAGACAAATAAGACAAAGATTGGAGCAAACATTTCTGGGATACTGTTTTGCTATTTGGAGGCATAGAAGAACTTGTAGTTCCAGATGGACCTGGGCAAAAATGTCTGGGCAAGCCCTCAGAAGTCCAGAGACTTTTGACCATGGGAAGCTGGAGAATCTTGATTAACTGTCATGAAGTTGCTTTGTTTTTATAAACATGCTGCTGACGCCCTGTACAACACTTGGCTGGAAAATGGAAAAAAGCTTTCTATTACTTTACAACTTTGTAAGTAAAATAAGCTGTGTGGATTTTGCAAATTAGGTAACAAAAACTGCTGTTGCTGGTTGAGTATGGATCAAATTGCTTAGCTGAGCCTGTCTCTTTGTACCTAAGCCAAAGGTAATCTTTGGTTCTGTCTGTGAATTAGAATGAATTTTAAATTCATGAAATCCACATTTTAAAAATTTCACTGTGAGGCTGGGTGCGGTGGCTCAAGCCTGTAATCCCAGCACTCTGGGAGGCCAAGGTGGGTGCATCACGAGGTCAGGAGATTGAGACTAGCCTAGCCAACATGGTGAAATGCCGTCTCTTTTAAAAACACAAAAATTAGCTGGGCATGGTGGCATGTGCCTGTAGTCCCAGCTACTTGGGAGGCTGAGGCAGGAGACTTGCTTGAACCCAGGAGGCGGAGGTTGCAGTGAGCTGAGATTGCACCACTGCACTCCAGCCTGGCAACAGAGTGATACTCCATCTAAAAAAAAAAAAAAGAAAAAAATTCACTGTAAAAGGATGCACAGTAGGCCAGGAGTGGTGGCTCATGCCTGTAATCCCAGCACTTTGGGAGGCTGAAGCAGGTGGATCACCTGAGGTCAGGAGTTCAAGATCAGCCTAGCTAACATAATGAAACCCCATCTCTATTAAAAATACAAAAAAAATTAGCTGGGCGGGGGGTGGGCACCTGTAATCCTAGCTACTAGAAAGGCTGAGGCAGGAAAATTGCTTGAACCTGGGAAGCGGAGGCTGCAGTGAGCTGAGATCGTGACACTGCACTCTAGCCTGGGCAACAAGAACAAAACTCTGTCAAAACAAAACAAAAAAACAAACAAAGTAAGCATGCATAGTAATTAAAGATAAATAGAGCCAAAAAAGTAAGGTTATTCAGAACATCAAACAGAGACATGAAGAATAACAAAGCTCCTGTTAGAGCAAAGAACTGATGAAGTTTAT